AGCAATCTCGAGTCGCGGTGACGCTGTCGACGAGGTTCTCTTTTCTGCTCTTTTTTTTTTGTTTTGGGTGCGGCACTTATTTTATTATTCCGTTACTTGTTCATCCGCCTCTCCCCGTAACCTTTCTAAGGCTGCTGCAGTCGAAGCTCCATCGCCTAATAATTAGCTTGCTAATAGTGTCGGCCTTCTTCCTTCTTTCGGAGTGAGCAGCAGGATGCGAGGTGAATTCGCGTTGTAGGTCTGACGTCTTTCATTGCAAAAAAGTGGATTTTTTTGAAAGTATGATTGCTTAAAAAGTTTTTGGATGCGCAGTTATTGTCAGAATCTTTTTTTTTTTTTTGATTTAGGCAAAGCGATTTTTCACGCTTCAAAAACTTCTCAGCAAATACAACCGGAGGACGACGAGATCACTGTCTGAGTTACTTCTCTCAGATATGGCTCTCCCAGTGGCAAAGGGATTTATGGAGGATATTAAAATTGAAGAAAAGTTATTGGACAGAATTGTTGAACACGTTCCAGAGGTGCTTACGGACGACAGGTTGTAATGATAGCTTTTCTGTTTGGTAACTTACAAGGCCGCTTCAATAAAATGCAAAATTTTGATCATAATTTGGAAAATTCGTGAAATTTTCTCGAGTATCCCAACAAGGTGTGGCAGGTGGCGTTAAACTGAATTTTGGTCCTTTTTTTCTCTCTTTCTCTTCCCTTTTCTTTTTCCTCTCTTTTATTCGTATTTTTTGTCTTCTTCCCTTCCACTTCATTTATCTTCCATGTACTGGTTGAAACGGCCTCTGACTGCTTTATCCTACCGGTTTAATGTACATGTTATTCAGAATATTATTTTGTAGAAAGAGTTATTAGTCCTCAAACCCTTTTACTTTTGAGATTTCTTGAATCGAATTTTAGCGTCTAACTTATCATTACTCCTTTTTTTCTCATCTTATTTTCTGTTTTTTTCTTAATATACATTAATTACTATTGCTACAACTACAGTATGTGTTGCTAAATTCGGGCGGAGGTACGGGAATAAAAAACTCATACAGTTACATGACGTACTAGAATAACATGACATTTAGTTATAAATCATTTTCAGTGAATAGAATTTAACGAATATATAAAATGCAAATATAATGTACGCATTT